GGTTTTTTTTGGGGGGGGGGGTTTAAAAAAATTTTTGGGGTTTAAAAACCCCCCAAAAAAAAAAACCCCCCTTTTTTCCCCCCTTTTTTAATTTTTTTTTTTTTAAAAAAAAGGTTTTTAAAAAAATTTTTTTGGGGTTTTTTTTTAATTTTTTGGGGGGGGTTTTAAAAAAAAAAATTTTTTTTTTTTTTTTTAAAAAATTTTTTTAAAATTTTTTTTTTTTAAAAAAAAAAACCCCCTTTTTTTTAAAATTTTTTTAAAATTTCCCTTTCCTTTTTTTTTTTTGGGGGTTTTTTTAAAAAAAATTTTTTCCCCCCCAAAAAAATTTTTTTTCCTTCTTTTTTTTTCCCTTTTTTTCCTTTTTTTAAAAAATTTTTTTTTTTTCCCCCCGTTAAAAATTTAAAAAATTTTAAAAAAAAAAAAAACCCCCCCAAAATTTTTTTAAATTTTTTAAAAAATTTTTTTTAAAAACCAAAAAAAAACCTTTTTTTTTTCCCCAAAAAATTTTTTTTAAAAAAAAAATTTAAAAATTTTTTTTTTTTTTTTTTTTAAAAAAAAAATTTTTTTTTAAAAATTTTTCCCCCCCCCAAAAAAATTTTGGGGTTTTTTTCCCCCCCTTTTTTGGAAAAAAAAAAAAAAAAGGTTTTAAAAAAAAAAAAAAAATTTTTTAAAATTTAAAAGGGGGGGTTTTTTTTTTTAAAAGGGAAAAAATTTGGTTTTCCCCCTTTTTAAAAAAATATAAAAAAAATTTTTTTAAAATTTTTTTTTTTAAAAAAATTATTTTTTTAAAAATTTTTTTTTTAAAAAAGGGGGAAATTTTTAAAAATTTAAAAAGGAAAAAAAAAAAAATTTTTTTTTTTTTTTAAAGGGGGTTTTTTTGGAAAAAAACCCCAAAATTTTTTTTTTTTTTAAATAATTTGGGCCCCAACCCCCGCCCCCGGGTTTCCCTTCTTAAAAAAACCCTTTTAAAAAGCCAAAAAAACCAAAATTTTTTTTTTTTTTTTCCCAAAAATTTTTTAAAAAAAAAAAAAAATTTTTTTAAAATTTAAAAAATTTTTTTTAAAAATTTTTTTTTTAAAAAAATTTTTTTTTTAAAAAAATATTTTTTTTTTCCCCCTTTTCCCCCCAAACCCAAAAAAAAAAAATTTTTTAATTTTTTTTTTCCCAAACCCCCCCTTTTTTTAAAAACAAAAATTTTCCCCCAACCCACGGGCCCCCCCCCCTTTTTTTTTGGGGTTTTTCCCCTGTTCCCCAAAAAAATTTTTTTAAAAAACCCCCCCAAAATTTTTTCCCCCCCCCAAAACACGCCCCCCCCAAAAAAAAAAATTTTTTTAAAAAAAAAAATTTTAAATTTTTAAAAATTTTTTTTAATAAAAAAAAATTTTTTAAAATTTTTAAAATTTTTTTTAAAATTTTTTAAAAAAAAACCCCTTGGATAAAGTTTTTTTTTAAAAATTTAAAATTCCCCCTTTAAACCCCCCGGGGGGGTGGGGTTTGTTTTCCCCCAACCCCCCCCCCTTTTTTTTTTTTTGGGGCCCCTTAGGGGGGGCCCAAACCCCCCCCCAAACCTTTTTTTTTTTTTTTTCCCCCCCCCCTTTTTAAAAATTTTTTTAAAAAAAATTTTTTTTTTTTTAAAATTTTTTTTAATTTTTTTTTTTTTTTTTTTTTAAAAAAATTTTAAAAAAAAAAAAAAGGGGGTTTTTTTTAAAAAAAAAAAGGGGGGGAAAAGGGGGGAAAAGGTTTTTTGGGGGGAATTTTGGGGAAAGGGGAAAGGGAATAAAAGGGGGGGGGGCCCCCTTTTGGGGGGGGGGGTTGGGGGGGGGGGGGGGGGGAAGGGGGGGGGGGGGTTTTCCAGGGGGGGGGGGGGGGGGGGGGGGGGGGGGGGGGGGCGGGGGGGGTTGGGGTTTTTTGGGGGGGGGGGGTTTTTTTGGGGGGGTAAAATGGAGTGAGGGGGGGGGGGTTTGGGGGGGGGGGGGGGGGGGGGGAAAAAAAAAAGGGGGGGGGGGGGGAAAAAAAAAAGGGGGGGGGGGGAAAGGGGGAAAAAAGGGAAAAAAGGGGGGGGGGGGAAAAAAAAAGGGGGGAAAAAAGGGGGGGGGGAAAAAGGGGGGAAAAAAAAAAAAAAAGGGGGGGAAAAAAGGGGGGGAAAAAAGGGGGGGGGGGAAAAGGGAAGGGGGGGGGGGGGGGAAGGGGGGGGGGGGGGGAAAGGGGGGGGGGGGGAAAAGGGGGGGGAAAAAAAAAAGGGGGGGGGAAAAGGGGGGGGGGGATTTTGGGGGTTTTAAAAATTATTTTGGGGGGGAGGGGTTTTGGGGGGGGGGGGTTTGGGGTGGGTGGGGGGGGGGGGGTTGGGGGGGGGGGGGGGGTGGGGGTTGGGGGGTGGGGGGGGGGTGGGGGGGGGGGGGGGGGGGGGGGGGGGGGGGGTTTGGGGGGGGGGGTTTGGGGGGGGAGGGGGGGGGGGGGGGGGGGTTTTTGGGGGGGGGGGGGGTTTTTTTTGGGGGGGGGGGGGTTTTGGGGGGGGTTTGGGGGGGGGGGGTGGGGGGGTTTTTGGTGGGGGTGGGGGGGGGGGGGGGGGGTTTTGGGGGGGGGGGGTGGGGGGGTTTTTGGGGGGGTTGGGGGGGGGGTTTTGGGGGGGGGGGGGAGGGGGGGGGTTTGGGGGGGGGGGGGGGGGTTTTGGGGGGGGGTGGGGGGGGGGTGGGGGGGGGGTTTGGGGGGGGGGGGGGGGGGGGGGTTTTGGGGGGTTTGTGGGGGGGGGGTTGGGGGGGGGGGGTTTGGGGTTTTTGGTGGGGGGGGGGGTGGGGGGGGGGGGGTGGGGGGGGGGGGGGGGTTTTGGGGGGTTTGGGGGGGGGGGGGGGTTTTTTGGGGGGGGGTGGGGGTTTTTTGGGGGGGGGGGGAGGGGGGGGGGGGGGTTTTTGGGGGGGGGGGGGGGGGGGTTTTTTGGGGGTTTTGGGGGGGGGGGGGGGGGTTTTGGGGGGGGGTTTGGGGTGGGGGGGGGGGGGGGGGGGGGGGGTGGGGGGGGGGGGGGGGGTTTTTGGTGAGGGGGGGGGGGGGGGGGGGTTTGGGGGGGGGGGGGTTTTTTGGGGGGGGGGATTTTTTGGGGGGGGGTGATTTTTTGGTGGGGGGTTTTTTGGGGGGTTTGTGGGGGGGTTTTTTTTTTGGGGGGGTGGGGGGTTTTTTGGGGGTTTTTTTTTGGGGGGGGGGGTTTTTGGGGGTTTTGGGGGGGGGGGGGGGGGGGGGGGGGGGTTTGGTGGGGGGTTTGGGGGGGGGGGTGGGGGGGGGGGTTTTTTTTGGGGTGGGGGGGAGGGGGGGGGGTTTTTTGGGGGGGTGGGGGGGTTTTGGGGGGGGGGGGGTTTGGGGGGGTGTGGGGGGGGGGGGGGGTTTGGGGGGGGGTTTTTTTGGGGGGGGGGGTTTTGGGGGGGGGGGGGGGGTTTGGGGGGGGTTTTGGGGGGGTTTGGGGGGGGGGAGGGGAAGGGGGTTTTGGGGGGGGGGGGGGGGTTTTGGGGGTTTTTTGGGGGTTTGGGGGGGGGGGGGGGGGGGTTTTTTTGGGTTGGTGAGGGTATTGTGGGGGTGGGGGGGGGGTTTGGGGGGGGGGGGGGGGGGGGGGGGTTTTGGGGGGGTTTATTTTTTGGGGGGGGGGGGGTTTTGGGGGGGGGGGGGGGGGGTTTTTTTTTTTTAAAAGGGGGGTTTTTGGGGGTTTGGGGGTGTTTTTTTTTTTGGGGGGGGGGAAAACCCCCCCCCCCCCCCCCCCCCCCTTTTTTTTTTTTTTTTTTTTAAAAAAATTTTTTTTTGGGGGGGGGGGGGGGGGTTTTTGGGGGGGGAAAAAAAGGGGGGGGTTTTTTTTAAAAGGGGGGAAAAATTTTTAAAAAGGGGGGGTTTTTTTTTTTTGGGGGGGGGGGTTTTTTTTTTTTGGGGCCCCCCCTTTTAAAATTAAAAAAAATTCAAAGGGGCCCCCGGAACCCCCCCCCCCCCCAAAAAAAAAAAAAAAATTTTAATTTTTTTGGGGGAAAAGGGGGTTTTTTTTTTTAAAAAAAAAATTTTAAAAAAAAAAAAAAAAAAATTTTTTTTTGTCCCCTTTTTTTTTTAAAGGGGGGGGAAAAACAAAAAATTTTTTTTTTTTTAAAAAAAAAAAAAAAAAAATTTTTAAAAATTTTTTTTGGGTTTTTTTTTTTTAAAAAAAATTAAAATTTTTTTTTAAAAAAAAAATTTTTTTTTTTTTTTTTAAACACAAAAACTTTTTTTCTGATCAAAAATGATAAAGTCGAGATCAATGGAAAAACTAGTTGGGTTTTTCTTTACCCCCTCCTCAATCGATTATATTACATAAACTAGAATGGTTAGAGATTCACCAGATTTTAATTAGTTTTGGGGAAACAGAGTGGTTTTATTTCTTCACTTTTTTAAAGGCCTTTACTTCACAAAAACGCAACCGGGCAAGTATTCCCGGGGCTGAAGTAAAACCAAAACAACCTTGGTTGAACCCAGGAAAACCTGGTTCAAAGGTTCTCCTGAGACTTGAACAAAGAAAAAAATTTTTAAGGGAAACTCCCTGGCTTGGTTTTCTTTTTTACCAAGGGGAGAATGAACTGCTTTTGAATTTAAAAATTCCTTGCTTGACGTTTACCTCGGAATGGGAGGGTTTTTGAAGCATTTAAAACCCCCACAAGACAATTAAACCTTTAAAAACAAAAAAAATCCTACAAAAAATATCAAAAATTTATGGCCGAAATTTTAAAAATAGGGAGTTTTTTATTTTAGCTACGAATTAAAAAAAAAACCCGTAATATAATACTAAGTGAAAAACCCTTTAAATTTCCAAATAATTTAATTGACCCCTTTTTTAATTTTTGCAACCAAAGGCGTAAACCAAAAAAACAACGGTAAAAAATTTGAAGCGACCAGAAATTCATTCCCAGTATTTAAAAATTGATTCCAAGAAATTTTTAAATCCTTGGGAAATGTTTTTTAGGCTTTTCATCCCTTTTCAAAATGCATTTAAACATGGGGTT